CATACTGTAAACATCCATAATTTTGTATTATGGGACAATCGTAAATTCATCCAACAATCTTCTGATATGCAGATATTGATTGTTGTCGTTGTCATAGACCCTTAGTGACCTTTTGCCAGGTGAACATAAATTTATTTTAATACCTTATGAAGTGTATATTTAATGTCCTTCTTATTGGCTCCTTCATGAAAACGACACAATAAATACCCTTAAAGATATTGATCTAATTGACACAGAGAGAGACAGAGAGAGCTTTAAACTTAAAAAATAATTCAAAGTTAAGAGAGTTATCAGACCTTATCCTTCATGACATTGGCTTAATTCCTATAAAGATATAGGTCTTTTTTAAGAAAGAGAAAGAGAGAAATACAGAAAGAGGGAGAGAAAAGGAAGGAACTTTGAAAAAAAAAACTCAAAATAAGGAGTGTGATCAGGCTTCTGGGCCACCAACCCTGATATTTTCTCAGTCTGAGATTTGTCAGAAAATCTGATTTTTTGTCAATGAACTTTGCCACCAAATAAATGTTTGCTAAAAATCAGACTTATCTTTTGAGTTTTTTTTCTCAAATCTGAGATTTTTTCTCAAGTCTGAGATTTTTTTCAAATATGCGTGCCATTAACGTTTCTTCCGACTCAGCTGAGAAAAAAATCTGAGTTTTCTCAGAAAATCCTGAGATTGTTGGATACCAGTCTCAAATGAAATCTCAAAAAATTATTTTATTCTAAAATGATCGCAAATGTTAGGACAGTTCACAGTTAAACCCATAAATACACGAAATTAACGTACAAGTTCAAAAAGAAAGTTAATTTCCAATTTGTGAAAGGGGGGGTGTCTTAATTATACTCGCATGTTAATATCACCATACATGATATCAAGCCATTAAGGACAGACGAGACGTTCCTCAATAATCTATAAATTTTTTCCTAAAGATTTTGTTATTGAAGAACTATTACTTTTAAAATGTTTACTCACAAAAAAATTGAGGTACCTTATTTGGAATTTGTGCGAAATACCACACGGTGGCATTTCTTATACAATCCTTTGTGGAAAAATTCTTAGTTTGTTAAAATCACAATTTTAGTGTTTCAAATTTTTAAATACAATTAGAAACCGGTTTAGAAACCAGAGAGTAATTACAATTTTATATATCTTTCATAGATTACGAAGATATACAAAACATATACTTAGGAAACGTATCGTCCTACCTTAAAAAAGAAAAGTATTATCGGTATTCTGGTGGCAAACTATATAAAACAAGTATATTCATTAATATACTGAAAGGAAAAGAAACGCATAATAGCATAATAGCGAAAAATATTTAACTGCGTGCCCGAAAATTTTGAAAATTGGTATGATGCGTATTTTTGTGCACTAAAATAGCTGGTCAAAATTACTCAACCATGAAATGTAAGGCGTCACGTAGGGGAAGTGTTAAAAAGCCAAATACATGTGCATGCTGATGATGACAATTTTGTGATCACATTTTGTAGTGCCAAGAGATGCATTAGAGTTATAGACATCGTTTTCCGATATTTGCAGTCAGTATAAATTTCTTGCAATCATGGTATGGCTGACGGAAGTTACCTTTGGTCAAGTAATTGAGTTGCATAAGTGAATAAAAGTGAATAAAAAGGCATCAACATGTTGCTGTGCAGTTTGTTTTTAAATTTTCAACCTAAAAAGTTTTTAAGGTTGTCAGAGAGTAACTTGACGGTGACGTTGGCGCGTAACAACGTCACCGTCATGGTTGGGGCTTTTCATCATGCTACCTCGGTTATTGTCAAGTCATTATTACTGAAACCGATATTTTTACAGCGGACAATTATACTCATATTTTCACCCTAATACTGATCGAAACTCTCTGCTCTAATTTGGTACGCAAACTTAGCAACTTTACGTCGGTTTTACTCTCACGCGCGCAAGTACACGCCATATGCGTAATGTTTTTAGCATGTTCATGCTAAGAAAATGAAGCAAGTGTTTGTCGAGACTTCCTTACAAACATTCACGTGTATCAAATCAGCTAGATTCTGTGAATTCTATTCTAAATCGAAAATTCGTGGGATTCATTGGGCGGGGGGATTTGTTGGCGTTGGAATAATACAGCTACTCGAAATCATTAAGACTACCGTCGGAAGGCTTGAATGATAATCCTTGAGAAAGTAAAATCCTCTGGTGAACTCATTGCACAAGAAAATCAAGACTGTTACTGTTGCGCAAGGGAGATCATGAGAATTATTATTTTAATTTTGGGGGTATCGACATGTCAATTTCAATATCTTAGGAATTATCAGTAAAAGGCACACAAGATTTCGGTTACTTGTTGTTTAAAGTTGAATTAAAATGTTTGATAACAATACTGGAAAAAGTATTGTAAAAAAGTTTTAATATTAGTCAAAAGTTTGATATGCGTTTCTTTTTTCCTTTCAGTATATAAGAATTAATTTATCAAATTCATATTTAATGTGCTATTTGTGACATATGTCAAAATTAGATGCAATTCACAATGTTCTTGTAAGGAAAGGAAATATGACTAGACTAAGATTTCAAGCCACGTCTTTTATTTTTTTTTTCGGTAGCTATATTTTACTACAAGTATTTATTAGTCTAAATGTAAATTTATAAAATATAAGATGTAATCTGATTAAATTTATATTTACAAATATTTATTTTCCTTCAAGATAATATGTATATAACCTTCATGGATAATAACATTTTCTTATATGGTTTTACGACTTCATGACAACTATATGCAGTGACGTACATGTAGCATCGTTTTTGAAAGGGGGGGCAGCTACAGAAAAGAATTTTAAATTACCTAAAAAAAACTTGAAAAGGAAATAGCCTTAACTCGAAAATCATATTTCGGGGGGGGGGGGTCTTCTTTTTTAGGGTCGAATTTTCCAGTACCCATTTTTCCACAACACAATGCTATATTACCCTTATTTTACTTTACTGTTGCTAAAAGTTGGGGGGAATGGTCTTTCACTGAACATGTTCAATAGTAAAAGTTATGTCTGACCCCACTCCCCCAGTTGCTATGTGCCTGATAATAGCAATGCCTTGTGCTTATATTGTAAATCTTTGATTGTTCGCGTTTATTTTATTTATATATACATGTGTAAGAATAAACTTGACTTGTGACCATTCCGAGATACATATGTATAAATCACAATGAAATGCACGGATGGAAAGTTTTTGAAATAAAAAATTATCCATCGCATGGTTTTTAAAAATGTTACAAATTCATTACGCAGTGAAACTTGTATAAGATATTAATCAGTTTTTTATGATCGTTAGTCCACTCAATTACGCCAGATTGACTTGGGTTTTCAGTGTAACAATGATTATTGGTCAAGTTGTGCAATATTCTTTGTTAATCATTTATAAAATGATAAAAAAAAATACTTTCAGAGATCAATATTTAAATCGGCACAGAGGATCATAAAAAATAGAATGTGTTAGTTTGCTTCTTCGACAAACATGACAAAATTTAGCCGATTTTCTTATTTCAACTGACAAGGAAAGAGGGTTAGAAAATAGATATAACCCTATTATATATTAAACAATTTTTGAAAAAAAACCTTTAAAACCAAGCATGCACTTCTTACCCGTCACTGGATATGTTTGCTGTTCATCTTATCGCACTAACCCACAACTTTGGAACACACCCAAAATTTATTCGGCCTGTGAGAAATTAAGCTATATATCAGGTTGATTTTTTTAAATATAAATTATTTATATGAAAAAATCAATATTTTTATTTCCTATCTGCTAGAAAAATATCACTTACTTTTATTCTAAATACATAAAGGTCCTATAACTCAAACACTTTTTTGCTATGGAGAATTAATATTTAACAAAAAAAGAAAAACAAAAACAAAAGCAAGAAAAATATTGATTATCGATAAGTCATGAAAATTTAATCTTGATCCGAATACCTGCTTCACGTAACGTCACAATAGCGGAAGTGACGCCTTGTGTATGTTTTTGTGTGTTTATGTCGACAAACGAGGCACGACTACAAAGTTTTGATATGTTTTTATGTTTTACTTCTGTAGAAATATATTTAAGAGGGTTAATTAAACATGTATTATCTCGGATGTCATATTGGAATCCTCTCTGTTGAATCACGCAAAACAGCAAATAAAAGACGAAGGAACTGAGAGATTTGTTTTTTTTCCACAATCTAAACCTAAATAATGGATAAACAACTGTAAAAAAGGTATATTCAATCATTGATTCAACAAATCCTTGCATTTTTCGAAAAAAGGCAGAATATGGAAATATATCTAAGATTTTTCTCAAATCTCAGTTTACGTGCGACCAATCTCAGAAATGTTGGTGGCACGGCGGTTTTTTGGAAAATCTCAGGTGAGGCAGAATTCTGAGATTAGAGGCTGAGTTTTGAGCTGAGATTTTTATAGGTTGGTGGCCTCGAAGCCAGACCTCCTTCTTATTCTTCAATGATTTGTATCTACTGTAACTTCTGGGACTTTGTAAAAATACCTAACATTTTGTAGCTCTTTTTCCCCACACTTAAAATGTATCTTCTGCAACTTCGTCAAAATTCTTAACATTTTTTTTTAGTTTTTTCCCCTGCTTAAAGTGTTGTCGTCGATGAAAATGTTACACAGGAAGATGATATACTCGGAAAATGCACTTCTCAAGAACAGCAAAGCTATGATTCGTCTTTTCATATATACCACAGGATGAACCGTAGGGGTTGGATGGGGCCACTATGGTCGATCAAGGTTTTTTTAGTGCTCGGGTGAGCGATGTGGCCACTGGGCCTCTTCTTTAAAAAAATCTTTTTACTCTGAATCGGGAAGGGGAAAACACATATTATTTTTAAGATACTATGGTTAATAAAATATCACAAAAATTAATGATGTTTCACAACAAAAACATCACTCTTGCCTGACTAGCTTGATATCTTCATATCAATATATTCCATCTTGACCATTACGTAATTCCAACTTCTGACAAGGATCAAGGTCCCCGTTATCTGTGAACGGTTCTACCGACACAAACATGGCCGACGTGTATCTTTGTCTGCTACTGAGCATCGCAGTCTCATTGGCGCTGAGGTGTCAGGCAATAGACAATTCAGAGGGTAAATAATTCATTGAATTAATTGAAAGAATGTTTTTATTTCATAATCTTTGGAATTGTGTACTTTTTACATATTTTAATATGAATAATTCCTTTTTCTCTCAGCTATACAATCTTTAAAAAGGGTTTGCCATCATCTCAATATTCGCTATTAAGAGTTATTTTCTAATGTGCAAAAATAATATTTTGGGGGGTTTTTTGTGTTTTTTTTTTATTAAACTAGTATAAAAGTAAATAAAAAAAATCTTCTATATATGAACATTAAACCTAAGATAACATTTTTAAAAAAGCAAAAGGTTGGTTAGATTAACCTTTTAGAGATACATTGTTATTATGCATGGCTTCAGATTTGCGCTTAGGTATAAATACTTATGTGTACAATAAAAGTTTAGAAACTAGGCAAGGTGTTCAGTCTCAAAGACTAAATGTTAACTATACAAAACAATTCTAACTAGTGCTAATCGTAACGGGAACCGTTACAGATGTTCCCCAAACGCTCCCCAACTCTCTTTTTGTGCCATATTACCTGTAAGCTTCATTAAATAAGACAAACTCTATGTTTTTGAGACTTTAACATTTACCTGGAAGTGTACGAAGTTCATTCAAATTTTAGCATTGCATGCGTGGGCATGCGAATGCCTGTGCGTAATGACCATATCATTTTGTCTACACAATCCATATATTTTAATAAACTAAAAATTAAAGTATTTAATCCAAAAGTAATAAAACTACGTTCATTCAAGTGTATTTTTGATTTTGTTCATTTCACGTGCACGCACGTGCATACATGAGCACGGTGACCATACCTTCTTGTAGAAGATCATTACATCTATCTATGTTCTAAATCCCACCCCATATAGTTGAAAACCAAGGGCGTTATACCTGTTAAAAGTTTCAGCCAATTAGATTGCAGCGCACGTACACGCACGTGCGCATGTGCATGGTGACCATACCTTTCTTGTAGTAGTCCATTATATCTATCTATGTTCCAAATCACATCCTGTTTGGTTGGAAACCAAGGGAGTTATAGCTGTTTAAAGTTTCAGCCAATCAGATTGCAGCGCACGTACATGCACGTGTATCCATGTGCATGGTTACCATACCTTCTTGTAGTAGTTCATAATTTCTATCTATATTTCAAATCCCATCGTCTTTGGTTGAAATCCAAATGAGTTATAGCTATTTAAAGTTTAAGCCAATCAGATTGCAGCGCACGTGCATGCACGTGTTTTCATGATAATTGCCATATATCATATTGTAGGATATCCTAATGCATGGCTATAATCAAAATTTCAAAGCATTTCGTCAAAAGACAAAAAAGATATTGAGATTTTTGTTTCAGCCAATCAGAGTGCAGCGCACGTGCATGCGCGTGAGATCTTGCTATTTTGACCATGTCGTATTGTCTATACTTCTAATGTATCCTTATATTATGAGTTCTAAAGCATTTCATCAAAAATTTAAAAAGTTACATCTATATCAATGTAATCGGTCATTTATCATGTTGCACGTGCGCGCTCTTGCAAGCACGTGCGCCGAAAATGACCTTCGTTCCGCAAATCTACATTACATGTCTACTGACCCTAAAAACATTTCACCTTAGTCTGATGTGTAGTTTACAAGATCACTCGCGGACAAAATTTTCCCAGGAAGAAAAATAAGAATAATAATAATAAAAAACAGAGTAAAAACAATATGTTCCCCAACTTCGTTTGGGGAACATAAAAATAAAAAAAATGAATTAACATTTGTTGGAAAAGTTTATTGTCAGAACGGTGAAAAATACTTTGCCATAAATTATTAAAGTAGGATTTTGATAACTCCTAGATTTTGCTGCTGGTAAACTTGTGGGTCATGTCATCTTCAAAGACCTTGACGATGCATCCGGACTAGCAGCCAGTCGAAAATTCAAAAATGTCCTTTACACCCACAGTGATGGAGGCGGGGGCCCCTATATCTACGCAATAAACGAAACATCTGGGTCTCTGATCGCGACATTTAGGATTGCAAATGCCAAGAACCATGATTGGGAGGATATTGCTGTTGGTCCGTGTGGAAACTCTACCTGTATTTACATTGCTGACTCTGGCCAGAATTATCATTCCAAATCATCAGCCAACACAATTTACAGAGTGCTTGAGCCCGATTTCATTATCAGGAGCATGGATCAAGATCTACCCCTCGATTCTATTGCTCAATACACGTGAGAAAAAAGATTGACATCTGTTTGTATATTTCAATTACCTATTTCTTTTATAAAGTTATTCCAGAAAAAGGCGTATATTCAGTTAAAGTTATCTTTTAACCTTATCTCATTCAGAAATGAGGCAATTAAAAGCAAAATAAGTCATTTTCAACAAAAAATGATTCCATTTTGACAATACAGCTGTAAAACTAAAAGATTCAAAAAGAGTCAAAAGATACGCTTGTTTGAAGTAAGATGCATTGCTGATAATATTCAGTATAAATCAAAGACATTACATCTTAAATGTAAATGATATAGCAAGAGATATTAGAAAGTTAAGCATACAATGGTATTACATATATATGGTTTCTTTATTTAAGTGTACGTGTTTTTAATCAGGTTATTTAATTTCTAAACGTAAATCTTAAAATAGAATTCAAATAATGATAATTATTTTTTTTTACTTAAGATGGTCGGAGGAGCAATCAGAGACGTTGATGGTCGATCCCAAAGGGGAGGTCTACCTTATAGGGTATGTATGCAGCGGGCGTGGAATGGTCTCCCATCTCCCAAAAAGCGCGTGGGGAAGCCCTAACCCAGTCAATATTGATTCATCACAGTTTCTTCCCATTAATACCGACCACCATGACCCAGTCTCTGGCGATATTTCCATGGACGGTAGCAAACTCCTTATCAAATCAAAATACCACATCTTTTACTGGAGAATTGAGGGCAGTGACGTATTGGGATCATTGACTACGACACCCGTTGAAGTTCCCTATCATTATGAAGGAAATGGTGACTCACAGGCAGTTTGTTGGAGTGCTGACGGTCAGAATTACTACACACTGCCCGAAGGTCACAATCCACCACTTTACATATATACCCGGAATAATACTAGAAGTCCGGATATAGTTGGAAATCTTATCGGAAAGTGACAGTTATGTTCCTATTGCTTTCCATTTATTCAACTTAAGCACATGTACATAGCAGTCTTTATTCTTCAAAATGAAAATATTACGAATTAAAGATATTAACTAGGCCCAGTCTAATTTGAGTGTGCATAACTATGCGCAGCTTTTTTTTTTTTTTTTTTTTTTAAATTCATGTTGTCCTTTGTGCAAAGAGAACACCTTTGCTGAATGTTTTGATTTTAATACAAAAATAACATTATCTGGAATTCCTACTGGTTTGCAAATGTGATTTCACGACAATATGATTGTAAAAAAAACCCCGCTAAAACGGCTCTAACAACTCCACAATTTTCCAATTTTCTAAACAATGTATGTCGCTAAAGAATGACGCATGGCTTGCTTGTATGTTCAAGATGGATTTTGTTCTTAAAACTGATGACAGAACATCCAAATAAACGCATTAGAAATCTAAACATTGCTATTTTTTTTCGAAAAAATCGTATGCACCGATAATTTATCTGCACTGATATGTATTTATACCGTAATATGGCAATTTTAGAGGTATTAGCCTTTATAAAATGAAAAGTTAATTATGAATTCCTAGACCAACCTAGGTGATAAACTTTTACCAATTGGTCACTTTTTTATTGTAATTTTCTTTTACTTGATTGCAAAAGAAATTCCTTAGTCAGAAATACCAAAAAATATTGGGAAAATGTGAAACGCTGACGCTTTTTGACAAAAAAATTCCCATAGGGTCCAATTCTTAAATTTGATAACTTTTGAGATGCCCCTAAGAAATCAGGATGGTGCACATTCGTTTTTTTTAAATCTTAAAACAATAAATATAACAGTAGATATTGTAAAAAATATTATCAAAATCTCTTGAGTAGAATTGAGAGGTTGAAATTTCATAAGTGTACGTGTACAGATACGTCTTATAATTGAATTACCTAAATTCCTCGCGTATAACGTCATCAATTTTAGTGATGACAAGTTTTCTATACGTCTTTAGAACCTGTAGAATGGCATCTAAACGTAAGAAAAACGTGTAGCTTTGATAATTAAATAGGTCAATTTATGTGAAATGTAGTTGTTGTATATTATTTAAGACGTTTAGTTTCATGAGCACTTATTTTAATCGTGTTTCGTTGAATGCATAAAATCAGCATGACGTAACAAAATTGAAATGTTGTTACTGAGACTCCGATTACGGTGTACTCGTACATGATATACATTATAAAAATATCAACAAACAAATTACTAAAAGCGTGTACGTGTACGTCAAAGTAGATGCACAAGTACGCGTTAGTTTAAAATCTCAAGTGTTGTTCATATTAGGAACACTCGTCTGTTTAAATATGTGCAATTGACATTGATTCAATTTGACATTAATTTATCAAACTTATCAATACTTGTTTTCCGCAAGCATAATTCTTCTTATCATTTCATTGTGCACATTCACCTTATTTTTTTTTTCGAATGATTACATATACCCCTTACCCCTGGAGTGGGACAAAAATTAGTAAAATTCCTGTTCCTGAAAAATAAACCTAATGGATCCTTTTATACGTTTTACTTCTACTTTGTGAGAAAGTGGGGGAAAAGTGATCTATCCAGTTGACTTCATAATTATATTGATTTTATCAGTTCAATAAGTTTATTAATTTGGCCTACATATGCATGTCATACCGTAAACATCCACAATTTTCTATTATGGGACAAATGTAGATTAATCCAACAATCTGCTGATATGCAAATATTTATTGTTGTCAATCATAGACCCTTTATTGACCATTTGTCAAGTGAACATAAATCTATTTTTACGCCGGTATTCTATTCAGTGTATGTCTAGTTTCTCTTTGTATTGGCTCTTTCATGACAATGACTTAATACCCTTAAAGATTTAGACCTAATTTGAGAGAGAGATAGAGAGAGAAGGAGAGAGAGAGAAAGAGCTTGGAACTAAAAGAAAGAGAAAGAGAGCTTTGAACAAAAACAAATTATAGTAAGGAGAGTGATCAGATCTCCCCATGCTTCAATGAGTTGTATCTTCTGCAACTTCAGGGAATCTTACAAAATACTCAAGATTTTGTCGCTTTTTTATTTCCCTGCACTTAAACTGTAGTTTCTGGGACCTTATCGAAATACTGTAAAACGAGAAAATTTGCCGCATACATATTTTAGCGCAAACGCAAGTGGGAATGCATTAGCGCAAATAAATTTTAGCGCTTGCACTTGTCAGTAAAATATATGAATTTGATATTTTTTTTATCCACACCCGTATTTGACCTTTTGGTTAGTCAAGCACGGAAACACATTAGTACTTCTGTATATCAGTAAACATTCGTTAACTTTACCGCTGTACCTGTTGCTATCACAAGGACGTGGCACAATATTAAATATTAATTTCATTTCCATTTTCTATTTAAAGAAATGGAGTATTTACTCATTTAAAAGCATATTAAAACAATGCATGCATCGACAGAAAATTACTTTGATAAAACGGTAATCCTAATCAGGTATTGTCAGCAAGCTCAATCGCCATGCTTGATTGTATTGTTTACCTCGAGGCGATAGATGATTGACACGCCGAGAATCCAAACTATGAAGTTGCTAATGATAATAATCGTGTAACAACTACTGGGGTAACAATAATTTAATTAAATTATAATTTGACAGAACTTTCTGTCTTCCGAACATGTGCAGTACTAGTGACCCTTCGACATTACGTAATCGCGTGTTCCGGTTTACATGTTCTTATGTAAAAGCTTTCAACACACACAAAAAATGATATTAAGAAATCCTTTAGCCCAGAATAAATTTTAGCGCTCAGGGGCTCTTGCACCAAAGGGGCTAAAATAAGTAGTGCGCCAAATATTCTCGTTTTACAGTACTTATTTTTTTATGCTAGACTTTACATGAAAACGCGTTGTTGAAGTTTGGGCCATCTTAAAAAATGATCGTTTGCCCTATCCAGATTGATGGTCCTTTTCAAATCTTTGTTGATCATCAGAAAACGATGAATATATTTTGTCCTCTATTATCCCATCATTAATCTATTTGTTAAAGAATTAAACCTTCCTACCTTTCGATCATCTATTTTAGCTCACCTGATCTTTAGGCTTTTACATAGAAATGTGTAGGGATAATCTTTAAAAATCGTCTGATCAAAACAACAAAGTCATGATTTGTCATTTTTATATGAGGTGTAGATTCAAGTTTCTTCAAATCATTTACTCCGGGAGTAGGTCGGGGACCACAATGGGCGATCTAATTTTCACATAGGGATGTATTGGGATAATCTCTTAAAATCTTCGTCACAAGAATAGCAAAGCTATGATTGTTTTTTTTTATATCGAAGCATCCTCAGGTGGAGTGTATTTAAGATTGTCCGAAACCTGAACATTATTAGTAGGGTGGGGCAACAATGGTCGATCTAAGTTTTGTGTTTTTTTTTTCGTAGCCAGTGCTCATGTGAGCGATTTTGCCCCTGGGCCTCTTGTTTTAAATTTCATTTTTACCTTAAATCGGGAGAGGACAAACATACAATATTTGAAAGATGTGGTTTAGTAAAAACACAACACATATTATTGTTTTAAACAACAAAACGTCTAGCTCTCTTGCCTGACTAGCTTCAAGTTGATAACTTTATAACAGTATATTCCATCGTGACCGTTATGATATACAAATCTCTGACAAGGTCAAGGTCCCCGTTATCTTTGCACGATTCTACCGACACAAACATGGCCGGCGTGTTTCTTTGTCTGTTGCTGAGCATTACAGCGTCACTGGCACTGAAACGACAGGCCATAGACCAATTAGAAGGTAAACTATTGATTAATGTAATTGTTGTTTTCATCATATTCTTTAAAAATATGTATTTTTTAAACATGTTTTGACATGAATTGTTCTTTTTCTTCTTCTCATCAAAAGAAATCTTAATAAAGTGTCTACAATTCAGGCCCTCGCGTATTACTTTCGTTCTTAAGAGAAAATTTGTATTGTGTAAAAATCATATTTTTTTGTAAAAGTAAAATGACTGTAAGAGAAACTTATTCTTCATTTTGTTCAATATATGAACAATTAAGCCTAAATTTAGATTTTATTCAAAATTCAAGAGGTTGGAAAGTTTTACCCTTGTTTTAAACATTGTTGAAATGCATAAACTCAGATGTGCTCTGACGGATTTGAGCTTGACAATAGAAGTCAAAAATTAGGCCAGATTTCAAATCTCAAAGACTTAACGTTGTTTACACAATATTGAAAAAAAAAAATAAAGATAGGCATTCAGCATAAAATTACGCTGTTACATTAACCTAACATGAATTGCAAGAAATGATTAAATAAGAAATTCAAGAGCACATGTTTCCCTTTTCTGAATTTTAAATTTTCATTCAGTATTTAAATTCCTTGAATGTTCGACATTAGTTTATTACTAGTGTGGCATGTAAAGATTACATTATAATAATGTTAGATTCCTCCAAGTGATATCAAAAAGATGTCCGATGAAATTTTTTAGTTCCAGCATTTGCTGCTGGTAAACTTGTGGCTCATGTCATCTTCCGAAACCTAAGCGATGCATCCGGGCTAGCAGCCAGCCGAACATTCAAAAATGTCCTATACACCCACAACGACGGAGCAGGTGGCCCTAATATCTACGCTATAAACGCAACATCCGGGGCTCTGATCGCGACATTGAGGATTGCTAATGCCACGAATCATGACTGGGAGGACATTGCAGTAGGTCCGTGTGGAGATTCTAGTTGCATTTACATTGCCGACTCTGGTAACAGACATTCCACATCCGCCAACACAATCTATAGAGTGCTCGAGCCCGATGTTATGAATATGAACATGGATCAAGTTCTACCCCTCGATTCCACCGCCCGATACACGTAAGAATAAAGCATGACCTATGTTTGCATATTTTTATTTTTGCTTTTCAAAAGTCATTCAAAAGACATATAAAGTAAAACAGAGTTATCTTTTCTTTTGACTGTAAAGCTTACAGATACAATGTACAAGTAAATGATTTAAATGTAGAAAGATACATAAGGAAGTAAAGCAAAGCATGGTATAATTTAACGCTAAATTATTTACTTTTATGTATTTTTGTTAATTATGCTCATACCAATAAAATTAATTTATAAACCCCAATCCTCAGTTGAAAAATTAAATATCTACAAGTAAACTTTCTCCATAAGATGGTCAGAGGACGAATCGCAGACGCTGATGGTCGATCCTCAAGGGGAGGTCTACCTGGTAGGAAATATATACAGCGGACGTGGAATGGTCTCCCATCTCCCAAAGAGTGCGTGGGGAAGTCCTAACATAGTCAATATTGATACAACCCAGTTTCTTCCTATTCATACCCACCACCACGACCCAGTCTCTGGCGATATTTCCATGGACGGTAGCGAACTCCTCATCAAAACAAAATCCAACATCTTTTACTGGAAGATTGATGGCGGTGACGTGATGAACTCGCTGACTAAGACACCCGTTGAAGTTCCCTATCATAATGCAGGACTTGGTGAGGCAATTTGTTGGAGTGCTGACGGTCAGAATTACTACACACTACCTGAAGGTCACAACCCAGCACTTTACATATATTCACGTATCAATGCAGGGAACCCAGGCGTAATTGGAAAATGAAATTTGTCTAAAGTTGTTGACAATTCGGTTTTGTTGTTTGATAAATATGTGATTTGCTTTTATATCGATAAATATCATATTAAAAACTTACAAGTCTTTGGTTTTATAATGTGTAGCATTTTGACCAAATCTCGACGGCCAAGGACAGTCTTCTCTCATTAGAATTTTATAAGTGTGGTAATTTCTAACGTGATGACTTTAACTTTTCTATCGTCAACGTCCCTTACTTATGTAGCAATATACCTTCATCAACTGTATAGCAGGCTCATTTAAAAAAAACAAACTTTTTTTTCGTAGGTTTCATTGTCGATAGAATGACTTTGTCAGCAAATACAATTTATCGTTGAGTCAAATTCTGACTGATGGTTTTCATACTAATTTTAGTCCATTATTTATACACTGAATTGACGATTTTCCCGTTATTTCCCGATCATGACAATATGAGCACATGGCTTGTGTGACCGGTCGACAGAGGATGATCACTCCTCCATGGCACCTGATCACACTTCTGATGTTTTGGAGGTCCGTGTTTGCTCTGCTCCTATTTTGTATTGCTTTATGGACTTCTGATCTTGAATACTGTTTGTTATCTTCATATGTATATCAGAAGTTAGGGATTGGAATTAAATGCAAGTTTATTTCTTTTGTATTACCATAAAGGCTCAGTTTTTTATTAAATAGTTTACATATTTTTGTTGTGGTAGTTTGAGATCAATAATCTATCAGCTTTCATCACTTGTAAAAAGAGAAACAATCAATGGCACCAGAATTGTCCTTAAAGTATGTCCTGGAATGTACACTGAAATAATATGCACTTGAATAACATTGCATATACTCTTTTAAAACAATTATCGCTAACTTCAGCATTACATGTAAACCATGATTACAGCAAATAACGTTCTCTTGCACAGTCTATTCCGTGGGTTATTGTTGTGCTTCGACAACATTTAAGGACAGATATTTAGAAGATTTTTTTTTTCAAAAAGCTAAAAAACGTACATCAATATAAGTTAAGAAAATGAATTAATTGAACCGAATAAGTTTTAATTTTTCCTTCAAATTTTTCACAATTTGATTTAGCATGACAAAGAAAAATCATAATAGACCACAATGAATGGTTGAATACACGGTTCATTGAGACAAAGACTTGAAGGAAGCTTAGTCATTAATTGAATGACTTGTTTTAGTGAATGAAGAGAGATGTTCGTTCTGTTGCCCAGTGAAAACAACCTGTGGATGAAATGTGATCTTACTTTTTTGGAATTTGATGTTGAAGATCGCCATCTTACACTTAGAAAATATGTTGAAAATCATAGCAATAATACAATTTTAAAATCACTTAAATATCGTTTACTTTAGACTTTAAACATATCAGATATCATAAAAAAGAAGCGCCAATACTTTGTCAACATTGATTAAACGACGCTCCCAAGTCAAAAGGTCCGGTATACATGTATGATGGTCACCAAGCTCATTCTGGATAAGGATATCGTTTTCCACCCATAGGTTTGCCAAGATTTGGCCATTTATGACAAACGGATTTTTTTGTTACAAAAAATAATTTGTTTGAAACATGGAGCTAACAAATAGTTTTCAAGGTCCATAAAGTCAATAAAACAAATCAAAAAAGGAGCAGAGTGAACACTGACCTCCAAAACAGGAGGTTGGATCAGGTGCCATGGAGGAGTGAGCATCACCTGTCGACCGATAAGAAGTTGGTGGTTTAGGGGGCGGATGTTACACAGTGAAACTATTTCCTCTGCAAAACTTTGATAAAATTCCAGTGTCTACATGTAACACGTGAGTTAAATTTTGCCTGTATTATATCAAAATTACATTCTTTCATCCATATTCAATTAATCAGAAAATCACTTTATCTTATTCTTCAAAATACTTGTAGAAAAAGTATAGATCAGAGACGTATAAAGCGATATAGCTAAATTTAGCTAAGAAACAGGTCTCGAACAGAATGATATTTGAATCAATACCAGTTGATTAGAAGATCAAGAGGTGAAAATTCAGAACTAAATATAATATAAATGAAAATTAATCAATATTTCAATGTTCAAGAACTACGAAAAACGCTAGACTTTTGAAAACGTAACATATTTCGATTTAGAATAATCTCTTCTTAGACACTCACTGTCTGCATCGTCACAAATTAAAGCTTGATGACGCTTTTTCTCTCTTCTGAAAAAATCAACTATGCTTTTGCCAAAGTAATTTTACAATATAAAATACAACACAAATAAGAATATTGATAAAAAAAACAAACATTTTCCCCTGCATTATATATTATACATAATGAGCACACTATCTTGGATCCAATGTGCATTTTATCACATTTCTCGTACTCTTAATGATCATATGTTAAACATATCTCAGATCCTGATCGCAGTGACATCAACACCAAAATGTAAACCAACTTGGCTCAGATAATTATTTAAGAATATTTTTAAATTTGCAAGAATATTAAAAAAGCTGTGCATGTTTTTTTTTCAAGGTGCGTTAATATGGACAATGTTAACGCATATTTTGGAATGAAATACTATTTCATATAAGTTCGTTAACTTGAATTTGTCTCGAATTGAGAGCATTCTATTTTGTTTTAAATTGCGGAATTGTTCAAAGTGAGTTGTATAAGTCCTACCGCTATCTTTCGGATTCATTATTTGGGCAAAAATTTTATTAACTTTTTAAAATTAATCCATGATTAATGAGCATTTATACATGTTAACCAGAATAATTTTAAAAACATTTTATACATGAATATATCATACAAGATAAAGAAATTGAATTAGATTTCGTATTCTGTGAATGAACAGGTGGCGCTACCTTACAGATCTATTGAATGAACAATGGCCGCCAAAACAATAAATCTCATTGTCATTTCTCTGCTTGTTAATGTTATCCATCTTGATGCACAGGTAAGTTCATTATCTATTAGAAAATATTGCTTTAAATGTTCTTCCTCTTAACACCCGGATGTATTTATATGGATAATTTCTCTTGAATAGTTGTTATTTTGATTTTTTTAAAATAAATTAACACAGTAGTTGAAAAAGGTATTGTTAGTAGCTGTAAATCATAAATCGCTTTCTTCTACGATAAATTTCCCTTATTTTGCTTTATGTACTATTAGCAATAAGATACAACCAAGTCAAAAACTATTTGTACATTTATTAGAGAAAATTAAGCAGCTGCTTTACTGTAATGTTCACAAAGATAATAAAATAGTTTTTTTTATTGTTGTAGGACAACATACGCTGTGATATGAGTGACCGTTATGGGTCATGCGATGCAGGATTCTGTTGTGTCAGAGACCAGTTCTTAGCCTCCTACGTCTACTGCAAACGGATTCCAACGAACACCCATCACTGCATGACCGTGGTCTCCGAATCAGAATGCGCATGTGCAAGTAACCTAACATGCGTACCAAACATTAATTTACCAACTTTTACGTCTGTTTATGGTAAATGTCAAGGGAATTCCAGCACTGACATACCAGAAACCACAACGACGGCTGCTTTCCATAAATCCATGAAGCCCCATGTCTAAAGATGACCCACAAGGAGATTGTTTTGATGATAAATAGGTTCACGATTAAATTTTCTTGAACAAAATGAGTTTTTAATGTTTTTCATGTAATTTGATTCTTCATATTAGTTGTTTGATACATATAAGAATCAATGAAATGGACCATTTTTGCCCGGCAAAACTACAGTAGTATACTGTATACAGTGTTATTTTCGCCCCGTGTTATTTTCGCCCTATTACATTTTCTAACAATTTTGCCCTGTTTTTACTTCGTCCAGTATAGTTCTGTTTAAAAAATTAAACTGTGTTCTTTGAATTTGCTCTGTTTTAAATTTGCCCAATTGTAACAAGGGCGAAAGGGGCGAAAATAAAACGGGGGCAAAAATTTCCCTGTTTACAGTATATGCTCTATTTACAAAGCTACTTTTTGCAAAAGTTTATCTGAAAAAAAGCTATGGGTGATCTAATAAGAACACTATTAGCAGTATTACTTGTTGGGTTTTTTTTTTCATAATTTTGAAAAACTTCCAAATGTACCAAACGCAGTGCTGTTGGTTGAAGTTGTAATATGGAGAATTATGGTTATATACTTGTCCCATATTTTCCATTTTATAACTTTTTGATTGCCTATGGTTTAAAGAAAAAAATCTCGAAACCCATAAATTTCGAAATTTCTAATCCCTCAACTTTTGCTATTTATTTACACGATGCATTGTAAATTGCCTATATAAATAATGAGACAATTTTCCTTCCACGTACGTGTATTTGTTCCAAATCAGGTAGATTTTTTTTTAATTTAACATTTTGCAAAAAGAAAAGAGGAAAACATTCGTACAAGAATATCTGTCGGAGAGACTCAAGGCAACATTTGATATCGATCCCTATGCAAATAACGTTTCTTCCGTTTAAAATACTCGCCGACAAACAAACACACACGCATACTAATGCATAACAATATCCTCTCTTTTTACCTAACATTGGTATAAAAGTATAATACCATCATCAGGATAAGATGAATGAATTCTCTTTGGAGAGACAAATATTATACCCAATCCATCTCTAGCACTGAGTTCTATACAATCCAAAGCTTTTTTGCTATTCCGTCATTTTTTAAAGAAAAAAATCAAATTACTCTTGCATCAATATATATCTACACATATGATTTTTCTTTTTGATTATGAGCCATAAGCTGATATGAACAATATAAAAATTCTAAAGAAAGATATATATCTAGGAAATAATAATGATAGTTATAAATAATCTAAGCGTGTCCCCAAAAATATTATTTAATTAAGGCATTTAATAAGATTGTTTCACATTGAACTTCTTGTGTAATAGAGGCCTTAACTTTCCGACAATACGTCGGACTGATAAGACATTTGTGATCAAAATGGCGAACTTTTTAGGAACAGCCGTGGTGTTTACCTGTTGTGAGTATTTAATAATTATTCAAAAATAAATATTTTTAATTTAATGTAAAATGCCTACAAATCAACAAAACTTAATTTTAATCTTCAATGAACAATCTTAAAATATCTTAAAATTAAGAAATAAGTACCTACACTTATTCCGGAAAGTCTTACATGTAAGGGACTGCTATTCTCTGTATTGTCTTCAAAATATTTCTCTGCATCTAGGTGCCCTGGTTGTTTTTGGCTCCTGTCCGTTGGAATGGTCTGAGTTTCAAGGAGAGTGTCTGCATTTCAGTAGATCCGCCAGAGGTTGGGTTGACGCGGCAGTGAGTACATTGGTATTCCGTACAGTATTACGAGGAGACCCTGTCTAAAAAATTTCATAAAAACACCTTTTGTGTAACGTTAAACATCTACATATATTATTTGCAATTAAATAAATGATATAAGAAAAAAAAATAATTTATACGTGGTTATAGGATGCACATGATTTGCTTCAAAACAATATGATTTGTGAAAATTCTAATCTTGAAAAAATGCACCTTTTAAAATTTCCCATTGTAGAAAGAATGCAGAAAAATGGGAGCCTACCTGTTCACAGATGACAATGAGGATAAACATAACTTTGTCACTCAAATCCTGACTGTTCTACATGGTCAGTTAATATTATTATATATTATGATATATAATTGGGATGAGGAGGGGGTTTTAGCTACATGGTTATTTGAATCAAGAAAACATTGAAATGTTATCTTAATGCAAAGATGTAAATAGATTAGAGAGGGGAACATGAGTACATGATTATGTACTTTTTAATAACAAAGCGTAAACATTTCTTGAAATAAAATCCATCTTCTCTTTAATACACTGTACATGAAAAAGACATGTTGTATATGTACATGTGTATATGGTATTATATTTTTAACTTTCTGCTTGCAGAATTTCGTGAGACCGCATTTTGGGCCGGTGCCGATGATTACATTTTCGAAGGCCAGTGGCGTTGGATGGAAACCGGAACCGCTATAGGGCCATATACAAAATGGGCAGCTGGGTATCCTTCTAAAAACGAAACTACAAACTGCCTCGTTATGAAGTTTGTAGGTACCGACCTGTTTTGGATGGACGATAATTGTACCCCATACCATCACGGCAAAGAATATGGCGGAAATCATTATTACGTTTGTGAAAAACCGTATGTACTCGATATTGTAATTTTTTCTGTAAAAATACTACATTTTAAACTAGAATTAAAAGAAAGCTTACATGTACAAAGGAAATTATATGCAAATTACAAATGGACTGAAGACATTCTAGTTTGAGCTTCACAATGACATTTTTATAATTTTCAGATCTGACTCTGGTGGATCAAGTGTTATTGGATGAAGAACATTCCTCTTTTGTTCATTTAAACGAAATAGAGAAACGAATAAAAGAAATTCGGTTTTTGATTTCCTAATTGTATGTTGTTTAACATCGTATTCGATAGACCAATATAGAGACTTCAATATATTTGTTGGATGCCATCATATTTTGACCTTTACACGACGCAGTCATTGAGCAGTAATGTATCTTTATCGTGTCAATGTCTACCGTGACACAGGGCCTTTCTTTTTAAGGTCTCAATCGAAGGACCAGCGACGTTCACTTCGAGGTGCCGAGCCTTGGCTACCTACCGGCACTTAAGCCAGGTGAGCTGAGATCTCACGACCTTCCAAGAACGCCCTTTAGCTTTTAAATACTTACTAAATCTATTCAGTGACAAGTCATACTTCATGAAAAAAAAGTTGTAAACTATTAGAAGAAAATAATGACTGTGTTTGCAAATTGCATATCATTTCCCCTAAGAAACATTCCGCATGATACTTAATGTGCTCATTAACTTGTGCGGAAAAAGAGGTTGGGTAAAGTCTCTATAACTATTTGCAACTATAATACAAATTTTATGCATAGAAATGCTGATTGAATTTTTAAACACAGTGAGCAAGTTTCTCCTCTTGTGCAGAGGTATATAGTAATTTAAACTGATTCTATATTTCGTTGTTGTCTATAATATTGCAGTTTTGTTAAAGTATTCTGGTATTTATGATTATAATAAACTACCAGGGTAGCTTATATAAGATAGAGACCTATTATGCATAAAAGTAAACATTGAGTATTGACAGTGAGTGAAAGTTATTCAATGTATATTGAAAGATTATATTTAATCTTGACAATATTCTGATGCATAGACCATGTGAAAATCAATAATATGATAGTAAATGTTTGCATTCAGTATTTCAAAGATACATGTGTAGGAATAGCATTGAATATTTTTTTTCTTTCCCCCTTTTATCAAATACCTATTCTTGCGTCGTATTTTGAAATTTAAAAAACATTATAACTAGGAACATTCAAAAAAATTCAAATCATCGCCCCACATGATCAGACAAAAATAAAAAAAGCCTACTCGTTCGTATCTCAAATATTAGACATTATTTCAAAAGTAAAATGGACCAAAATCACAGAAACCCAAATAGATTGGACAGGCCAGAGAAAGTTGGTCAGTTACAGGATTAATGTCTAATGTACTATGTCCGGATCCCTACTAAGGTGATTGTGTTCCGTCTGTCTAGATTTGGGTCATTTTCTGATAATAATTCGTGCCTCAGAAGACAGAACATGATTCGACATCTTATTCTCATTTCAGCAGGTATTTTAACAAATTTACTTTTCTTGTAGCATTTTTGGGGCTATTTTATAAAGTAACTTCTTCATAGAATAAAAAAAAGATTTTTTTCCTCTATTCTTGATGAATATGCACATGGAAAATGCAACATTCTTAATATACACTGGTGTCCCATTTTTTCAACCCTGCGAAGACATATCTTGAGCTGAATATCAATGGTTTATCAAAATACGTAGATTTACGCCATGCATGGCACTCTTTGTATGCAACAAATTGAAGTACCTGTTATTATAGATAAAAGGGTTGTTGGAAAATCTTGCGCTAAGTCTTTCTGTGCATTTCTTCCATCTTTTTAATGCCATTGTCTGCATACTGTTTATACATCCCATCTCTTTGTAGCAAACGCCTGAACACTATGTATACTGTTTCTTACTTCCCTCTTTCAGCCATCGTCTGTACACTATGTATACTGTTTCTTCTGTCTCTTTTTTTCATCCATTGCCTGTACGCTGTTTATATATTTTTTCTGATTGTAGCTATTGCCTGTACACTATGTAATTGCCCTCTTGACTGGGCAGAATATGACGGAGAATGCCTGTACTTTGGACATGACAGAAGGGATTATCTGGGTTCTCAGGTACATGCAGTTTACTGAAAAAAATATATTTAAGGGAACATTGCAGCAATAATTGAGGTTTAACAATCGCTACTCAATATGGAATAATAATAATAAGTTAATTCGTTTTAGTTACTGACTAAGGGTCTAGTATTTAGTCAAAATGCTAAAAAAATACCTTTATTTTGTTGAGACATTTTACATTTATCTTTTCTTCCGAGCTTCATCACGGGATAAAAAGTAATTTGATACTTAGCAGTCAAAAAATTTAAATGAAGTAATCATGTCAAAAATCCATAATGCTAGTTTAAGACAAGTGAACAAAATAGCAAAATTAATATATTTGATACACTAATGGAAATCGGTAGGTTCTTATGAATGATTTTGACACAACTCCCACCCCAAGGCAGAAAGATAATATCTACTCTTGTCAATAAATGAATTTTGAACAACATTTTTTGTCCACAACTTATACTGTGGTTTCATCAATATTCGTTGAGCACCAATTTTCGAGGATTTCGTTGTTGAAAAGATTCACGAATTCCAATGTTCATTGAATTAAGAAGTATGCTATTCATTTGTATAGGCACTGCTTTTGTCCACGAAATTACGTATCCTCGAAAACGCCTGTTTAATAAAATCCATGAAAATTGATGCCAACTAAAATTGATAAAACCACAGTATTTTATAAACATAATGATGTTCGTATTTGATATAATTATAAGTTATCTGCGAGGCTATAACATTTGTGGACTTTGTGTGGGATATTAATGATTTCACGATAATTGATTGGCCATGTTATATTTTATAGAGAGACTGTAAATCCAAAAACTCGTATCTAGTTACGGTTGATAATGCTGCTAAAGCCACATTTATACGACAAGTGGTCAGTGTAATGCACAGTGAGTATTCACGGAATTATTATCTTAAATGGTGATTATTCTTGATTCTAATAAGTGCTTCATAGCATATGCAAGTTTCTCATCTCGTTTTAACACAATTGCAATAAAAAATATCAAATAGAAGAGATGAGCCAAATATAAATAAATATATTACACAAAAACCAGGTATCAACTGGCCTTTATTTTGCCTAAGCATTCGAACTCCATCTATCAACTAAGAAAGAATCACCAGCTTACGCAAGCACATTGAGGTCATACATATAAATGCTTGGAAGTGAACACCTATACACAATGTTTTGTCTTTGGGAGGAGAAAGTTACCAAAGAGTTGCTCTTATAGCTACTGACATGCATTACATCAGGATAGGATAAACATGAAGGTAAACCAGCACATTTGAGCATTTTTGATTTTTAATTGTATAGTTGCTCTTGATTACAAGGTAACCGTCTGTATCGTTATTGGACTGGTGCCTCTGACTTTGCCATCGAGGGTTCCTGGAGATGGTTGGAGACGGGAGCAGCGGTCGGTCCCTACACGAACTGGGCTGACGGACGACCAACCAACAACGGAACCTTTAATTGTATGATGATGGAGTGGGTGGGAGACGAGCTCAAATGGGTTGATGTGGAGTGCAACCATAGAGACACGACGTATATATGTGAAAAACAGTAAGCCAAATGACATTAAATTCTTTTGATTATTTTTTTTAAAGAGAAAATATACATTTAATTCTCCGAATATGCTACCTTTGAAAACAAAAGATAAATCTTAATACGAACTATTGTATTAATGCATAATTTAATGAATCAAACCTCATGTAAAATCAAACAAAATTCAACTTATATGCATGAAATACTCATTTATAAGTTACAAAGATAGAGTGTACTTGAAACTAAGTTTAGTAATATATCTGTTTCTTTTTTTTTTTAGAATGAGCAGTCCATAAATACAGTCGGTGTATACATGAATTTTGAGGGAAATAAAAAAAGCATAATTATTTGCATCCAGATGATCAATTTGCAGCGTCTAGCGAAAGACATACACTTCATTACTGGTTATGGCTTTTGCTTTTTTTGTTTAAATAAAATTTTATACAATGAAGGATATGGAGATAACGAACAGTATTCAATATCAAATTCCATAAAACAATACAAATTAGGAGCAGAGCTAACATGGACCTCCAAAGCATCCAAGGTGGTATCAGTGCCATGGATTACAACGATTTCAAACAGTATATTTTGCTCGACGTTGTCATAGCGTACGCCGAGTACTTTTTGAATTAAAGTTTAAGACGAAAATCTAAAGTCATCTCCTTGGTCAGACAGTGAAGATACATTTGGCTCCTATATTGTCTTTAGTCAGTAAAACGCCTAATTATAAAGTACATGTAGATATACTTGACTTTGTTTGAGTCAATGTTTACAAATAATTGAGAATTGTTATTATAAATTCTTTAAACGTCGTCAAAATAACTGAAGGTCGACTTAAACTTACTTGAAACAGCAATATTAATAAGGAAATGTCGAACAGTATTTAAGCTCAAAAGTCCAATTAAGAATACAAATAAAGATCAGAGCAAACACGAACCTCTAAAACGCTGAGGTTTGACTAAATGCCTAAGTGAGCATTTTCTGCCGATTAGACATTTTTTTTTATAAGTTTTAAAAAATGGTAAGTTAACACGGAATACATGTATAAAGCAAAAAAAAAAAAAAAAAAAAAAAAAAACAATCCATGCTCTTCAAGAGATTATTTGAAGTCATTATCTCAAAAACTCTATTAAAAATTCCAAAAAATAATGCAAATGCGAATGTCCTGTATTTTTGTAAAATTAGCTTTTATTCTTTGATAAAATAGAATAACTGATTTACTGTGTAATTTTGAAGAAGTCATATGATATAAACATTTTTGATTTTCAGTTTTACCAATGAAACAATTGACTTGGATTTCACCCAGCGCTTATTTATCGACCGAAAGACTTGAAATGCATAAAAGGGGGGTAAATCATTATTTTATGGGGTAACTTTCACTTTTAAAAGAAAATTATCGTTTTTTTTCTAATAAATGTTTGAAATTTACCAACTGATAATTTACATCATATTTCATATATTTTGTAGCTCACGTTCTCTAAGTTTAATTTATCATTTGGTATCTGGTATTCACAGACAAAATGACGTTCTGGTAGGTGTATTTGTTGTTATAATTACGATGGAAATTTTTTAGCATTGAAATGTTTTTTGCAAAAAAATTGAAAATCTCGAGCAGGAGTTTTAACGAAGCAAAAAGATTTTTACATGTATTTTGTAAATTTACATTTAAGCTAAAAACCAATTTCTTTTTAATTATTAAAAAAATAAATATGCAACAATTCTAAATGGATACTTTTCCTAAAAAAAATTAACTTAAAAATAATCAACATTTACAAAACAAAGTTCTCAAGCTTATTCATAAGAAGAAAAAATGGAATTAAATCAACATTTCTAATATCTCATACACCCCCCCCCCCCCACAATTTGGTAACACGGAATCTTGTGTATATTTTATTTTAACTTGGCTAACATTTTATTAAAAGATATCAATTGAGGTATTGGGTAGGTATGTAAGCACCTGACTTAAACGTCAATCTTTATCATTAAGGGATGCTTTTTTTAAAAATTCAATACAACTCCTCATTTGAAACTAAACACATAAGTAAAAGAATTTTAGAATTATATCGTGGTGGAGAGATTCCATTCTTCACTGAACTAACGAATACTTTTTTTTCTTTGTTAAGAATGTTCTATAAATATTTTTTTTCTGGTGTTGTTTTAAAGCATGATATATCGTTTGAATGTTCCCCAATTTATGACAGCTTCCTTAGTTACCGGTGTGTTCTAAAACATCTACTTTCCAAATATCTTCTAAACCCTTGAGAAAAACTTAGATTCCTTGTGCAATATAGTCATCTAATTTCTCCTTTTATCTAAAACAAGCCAGAAGTACTGTATAGGACGCACTGATCTACTGGTAAAGGTTACACTGTACATTGTATTATTATGTCTGTCAAATGTGAGTTATAAATCAACCAGGTCAACAGGCTGATAAGGGAACCAGCACAATGAAAACCCTGTGTTTTACAGCCCTCTTTGTAGCAGGTCATATAATTTTTATATTTTAAGAGTTTTGAATTAAAATTATGTTTTTGCATAATATAATTTGCTAATGCTATTTAGGAATTCATTTCATGTTTTCTCAGATATATTTCCGATTGAATGGGTGCTAATGTTGTTGATCTTAAATGTAGAACAGTTATATCACTATCCATGACAATGATTTTAAGCATTCATTCAGATTTACAAGCAGTTACTTTTGCGACACGATATAAAGATTTTATTATGAATGATGCTACTTCAGAGAAGGAAAAACTTTGATTTGAATATTCTATATCTATTCTATGTGAAAGCATATGACAGTTTGTGAATTTCAGTGATCTCCGCCGTACTCTCGGTGTGTCCTGTTGACTGGGCCGAGTTCAGGGGCGAGTGTATTTATTTTGGCCATGACAGACGATCATGGTTGGATGCAGAAGTAAGCGTCTATTACTAGTTAAATGTATGAGAATCTTAAGGTGGCTCGAGGCATGTGCAGGATACTAGTATATGAGAAGATGAAACTGATGTGATAATTTTATATCTTTCTATGTAAAAGCAAATGTATATCAATATGAATTAAAGTCTTAATTAAGGTAAATCGACCCCCCCAAATAGTAAAAAGGCTTTACTACATTTGTAAATATATAATCCTAAAATTTCATAAAAAATCATTTACCAGCTTAAATTATGTAAATCATAATATAGTCAATAAAGATATTTTTCTTCTTTCTTCATCATTAATTTTTAGCCTTACTATATTTGTAAATATAAAATCCTAAAATTTCATAAAAAATCATAATCTTAAATTATGCAAATCATAATATAGTCTATAAAGATAATTTTTCTTCTTTCTTCATCTTTAATTTGGATAAAAAAATTAACACTGAAATTTTAATTTAATAATGTTTATTTGAATTCATGTTATAGATGTTTAAAACACAGAGCATAGGGAGTGTCACTGCTTCACAACTGAACGTCACATTTTAAAGTGTATTTTTTCTTAGAATGTGTCAGATCTCCCAATTTTTTTAAAAGATAATTCTCGTAATTTTCTAGTCTTTAACTGAAAATTAAATGACGGCATTGGTATTTCCTCTCCAAAATCGCATGGAAAAAAAACGAGGACGAGTTGTAATGCAATTTTGCTTCAAAATATGGGAAACATCACAAGCAACAGTTACGGTAATTAATCAGACCTACTGTATGTATATAGTCAAAATTGAAGTTTGTCTATGTTTCAAAGTTTTGACATATGGCTTAATTGAGAAAAGAGTATGTTCACTATGTTCTTTTGCGAATCGCAAATATTCTAAATGAAACGAAGGGGAAACGCTAAAAATATGCAAATGTTATATTTAAGTCATATTTTGGAAAGCATACATTATATTTCTTTTGAATTTTTCAGTTGATTTCAAATAACTGACATATATATTTTTGTATTTATAGCAATTTTATTATTACTTTTGGAGAAATAATTTAAATAGAAATTTATTTAAAATCTCTTTTTGTTCCTGGTTAAGGGGGGACCTATGTCCGAAAAGTCTTTGTGTGAAATTTTCAAAACTTTGACATTTCTTTCCTTACCACTTGCTCTTAATTTTTCGGTATTATAAACAATACCTTTATATGCTTATTTTTACACAGGAGCACGTGCAAAAACAGTGTGAAATGCTAAAAATAGATTATTCTTATTGTTCTACTTCAAAAATGCGCTAAAAAGAACCAAAAATGTCAAAATTCGAAATCAAAAGGTATAAATATGACTTTTTTCTTAATTTAAAATCTCTTGTTTATAATGTTAAGTTGGTTTTTTTACAATTCCGACATGCATAACAGGTAATATCTTTAAAAGTCTTTATGTGAAAATGTTGTAATTCATTTTTTTTTAAAGGAAGGATTCATCTCTTTATTTTAACAAAGAAAAAAGTATACCTTTATGATAAAATAAACGAGAAATATGACATTAATAAATATTGACACATCTTCCGAATATAAAACTATTGTGCGAAAAACGAGTATTTTGTTTTGATTAGAAAAAAATTAAATCAATAAGCAAATATAGGTACATACATACCAGTTTTATCCAGAAAATACATTTAATGGTAAAATAAAATTAAACATACAGAGTATTTCCCTGATTTAAGCAACTTTCTTCGCTGATTTTATCTAATCTTTTTGCAATATCATATTTCTTCATAACTGTTGCTATGAATTATCAACCAAAGGTTAATATTAAAAAACCAAATAAAACTGTTATTAATGATGAATTTTTATTTTTTAAATAATTTCATTCAAAGTTGCAAAAGTAAACAGGTAAAAAAAAACGTCTCTATTGTGACGTCACATAACGCTGCTCACATTTGCCATAATCAACGCAGATGACACATCTTTAAACATGCCTTTCATTGACCGATTAAGTAGAAAATTTAAGAGTGACTCTGATTTGAATACATATGTTCCACGTTAACCTTTTTATTTTTTAAATATGTTCATTTATTGATGTTTATCGCCTCACATTTGCCATAATCACACGGATGCAATTTTAATTTTATTTGCGAAAAGTGTCGGACAAGATTATATTGAAAAACATTTTATGAGTATATATGTAATAATTTTTTTCAGTATCTATATCTTAATTTGTTTCCACAATAACATAACATGGCTGCTAAAAAACAAGTTTAAATGCCATAACATGTTTTTTTTTTCTAGTTTTACTGTAACTCAAAATTGATCCCTTTTTAAACCTTTCTAAAACGCAGATTTATACGGAAGAAAGTAGGTGCCAAGTAGAAAAAAAGGTCACCAAAAATAATATGGAGGCCTTCAAAAATATTTAGCGTCTGCCGAGATAAAAACCTTTCTTTTTGGTATTCAGTTTCTCTATATGAGTCTCACTAAGCGTGTATCGAAGAAATGTACAAAAGATTTGTTTTTATCCCCCCCCTAAAATTATTCAAACGAATGTATATATACTTTAAACAGTATTTCTAACATCATTTACAAAGCTACAACATTAACTTAACACTTATGTTGCAGTAACTTTCAAATTTAATTTTAATTGCTTTTTTTTCAGATATTAGAAATATTTGATTCCAGCACATAGTTTTAAATATTTACTTGCTTACGATGATTAGATTTAAGGTTGCCGAATATGCTGCTGTGAAAAATACTTTGCAGTCTTCTCGAAGGACCCCTCTCCAACCCCCTCAAAAAACCCCAAACGAACAAACAAACAAACGAAATCGAAACAAAAGGATCTGGCATAAACTTTAATGAATCTTTAACTTAATTTCAATCTTACCTGATCTCAAAACTCTTCTCCATCGTGCGTGAGTAATGAACACAATGCTTATTTGAACTTCTTTTGTGCATTTAGTTCTTTTCTTTTTAAATTAATAATATCTAGCATTGTTATAGCATTGCGTCAAAACGCCTTTTGGATAGGCGCTAGTGACTACACAATTGAAGGATCCTTCCGTTGGTTAGAGACGGGGTACCCCATAGGGAACTTCTCAGCGTGGGGCGCAGGAAAACCCACGAGAAATGATACAAACAACTGCGTGCGCCTGTTCTACAATGGCGATTCATTTAAATGGGAGGACATTAACTGTAACGATAGGTACACGAACTTCATCTGCGAGAAACCGTGAGTTTATTTTCTTGCATTAAAACTAATAAAAATGTAAATAAAACACCGTTTTTCTTTATATTGAATGCATTTTGAGACATCTACCATGATATGTTAAAATAATCACGTTAGAATATACTGTCAAAGTACAATCTTGAGAAGAAGACAAAAGGGTTGGATTTATATTTTTGCTTTGCAGACAGGAATCTTTGTCTGCGTAGAAATCAAACATTTGCAATTCCTACATTGTTATCTTCGATATTTTTTTACCTAATTAATGTGTTTTCTCTGCATTTCAAATCATATAACTGCAAATATGTGTTCAAGAATTGATTTTTTTTTTGTTTATTCAGTGTTAATTTGGATTTTTTTAAATACTTTCTTTCAGAGCGGAAGGCGGAGATTCAGTTACAACTGAGAAGGCTCTTGTTATCGGATGATAGAAAAAAAAAACAGAATTCTGTACTTAAGTTATTAAAATAATTTTAAGTTCTCATTTGGTTTGATCATGTGCTTTTGTTACATAAGAAAACCTCCAGTGTATTTTTCTTATAAAGTATTAATCTAAAGATCTCATTTATATAAATCAATACCTGAAACGATAGGTTTGATGATAAATAAACATTTTGACAGCCAATGTTCAATATTAAGTTGAAACTCATATTAATTTACAGATAGTCAGATACTTCTGAAGCTGTTTTTTGCGATCTCCCGTGGGTTTTACAAAGGCTCTTTCAAAATACAGTGTATCATTTCAAGTCTCTAAATTTAAAATTTATGCCTAATTTGTCTACGCACTAGACGATGACTTCTATTTTTCTCAGTACTTGAATTAAATAAAAGAAATTTATTTATTGTTAAAATTCCCCTGACAATCCGAGAAAAAATAGCGTTTTGCGGGTTTTCGAATTAAATTAAATTCACCTTACGGAGGTCTACATGTCATTTATTTTTGAAGAATATTACCCACTGTGAATATTTCCATTTTTCTAAAGCATTTCATTAATTCTATGCAAAAATTCACTCAGCCCATCAAAAGATTTGCGTAATACTTTTTTATTGATCAATGTTAAAAATTTATGAACGTACCCAGAATTTCTATTGAATCCCTTAAGTTTTCAAAATTTTAGTGGTATGATTTTGTTAAATGAAAAGAAAAGAGTTGCTTTCTTATAGAAAAAACACACACAATTCAGAAAAATACAAATTTGCAACATTAAATAGGTAATGCTTTTTATTGGACAAATTAAGAACAACAGATTTTTGTATTAAGTTATCACTTTATATTATCATTTATCAAAACAGTATGTGTGTTAAGGAAAACGATATAATGTGTAAATGAAAAATCAAACAATAAAGCAAATATCTTGGTTTATACAAATCTTAAAATTGAAATTTCGACCAAGTCCCTTTTCTAAAAATGTTATAAAATCGGACGAGTTTGTGACGTCAAGAAACAAAAATAGTATTAAACACTGTGGTTAATTCATTTTTTAGGAATTTAGTTTTCAAAATTGGCGTTTCGCATTTAGTTCTTTGAAAAAAAACCCAATTTTTGTAAAATATCACTTTGTATTTTATTGACGATCAATTTCAAACAATAAAGCAAGATTTTTTTCTTCTATGGAATAACTAAAATATTTGTAAAATGTAGGAATATTTTTTTTGCTAAAAAAAATCGAAAATATCACGATTTAACGATCAGTTCTTCTGTGGAATAACTAAAATATTTGTAAGATATAGGAATATTTTTTTTGCTAATCGATTACAATATTTTTATTATTAAAATAAACCTCAGTGTATGAACTCTTCATCTCTATTTGAAATTATAAAAAAAATACACTTAGAGGGTGTTTGAAATTATGTATTCGTGTTTTATTATAAATCAACACCCACGCCTTTATCACCAATTTCAGACAATGACATATATACATTTAATCATCACTTTTACCGTTAGTAAAATAACGTTCTTGTATGTACCTGATCACAGTTATGATATCTGGTATCATTATTAATAGAAAAGCAAAACTGAAGATGAACACTCCGGAACTACCTATTGCAATGGCGCTCGGGCGCGGATCGTATACACTTGTCAAACTTCTCAGATAGGCATTTGTTCTCTTTCTGTTGATAATAAGTTCTCTCCTGATTCGAGCAATCCATTCGTTAAGAGTTTGGTTGTTGATTCTACTGACCCCGTTGTTTGAAGAATCTTGAAAGCAATTAGAAAAAATGAAATGAGATATATCCCAGCAGACATTTCAAGGTTGATTCAGAGTTTGATCAACGTTGAACCTAAGGTTCAATCAACGTGGAATTTTGGTTGCTTATGAAAGCTGAGGCAGCATTGAGTCATCCACATTGTTTCGATGTCAATTCTGCACTTTGAATAGAAGTTGATGATGGGCTGAACTTTTGGTTGAATTATGGATGAATTTAGTTGCAAGTAAAATTAAAATTTTGATACAGTAAATTTATAGAGATACATCGTGACTTATAAAGACCGAACTGCTGGTATAATATTTTCTGTGAGCTTTGACAGTATCTGGATATTTAAGATTTTTTTAATAAAAAAAAAATGGTAATTAACATTACATGTAAAAATACCTGTACACTGGAAAGTAGTGGAAGGCCATGTTCCAGACACGCAATTAATTTCATTGTCAGCATTTGTTGCACTAAAACCATAGTGACAAGCGTACATAGCTACGTCACCATTCACCAAGACATCAGCACCAGTGATGTTTGGTGCCGGGCCACAGGATGCTGAAAGTGCGAAGAAATGAAAACTTAAGTTGAATGAAAATGAACACTGATTAATCTCATTATATCTGTGAGAGAAACGTAATACAAAATTAAATATATAGGCTGAAATCGTGCCTCGAACATAAGTTCATTGAAATTAAATTTCAGGTGAACTTTTGTTAAGCAATCATCATATTTCTCTACATTGCATTACAGAAAATGTTATCATGACTGCACATATACCTAAAACAGCACACTGAAGCGCGCGGTTGTCATATCTTAATTATACTAAAGACACTACAAGGCTGAGGGATGGGAAACTGGGTTTATTTTTTCATAAATGACACGTAGAAAAAAAACCAGAGTTGTTTGATGAAAGTTAATCTGATTAGAATATAAAATCAAAATATATTTCTTTCAAAAAATCAAATATATTGACAAAGAGTATAGGTCACTAAGAAAAAAAATTATTTATCAGAAAAAAATATTCCGGAAATCAAAATATTTGTCAAAAACAGATTCTGATTTCTTACCAGTGCACGAAAACGTTGTTGTTTGCCACACTGACTGGGAACAGCTGATCAAACTACTTCCCGTTTGAGACAGATAACCCTCTTGACAGGAATATATAGCCATAAAATCAAAAACTTGAACATCAGCATTTGGAATGGAAGGAGGAGCTGCACATATCGCTGTTTGAAATAAACAACACGTTTTCATTCTCCAAAACAAGGAGAAATCAATATTATTTTTTTCACATCTTGTGCATAGGTTTCTTTTTTTCAGACTGTTAAAGAATTTTTAATTTTCTTTTACAATAAGACTCGGTTATAATGAAGTCACGGGGACTTCTGAAATTACCTCGCTATATCCGTAATTCGTTATATCCGTACAAGAAATTTGCTAAATTTATATTACTGGGGATCCAAGATAACTATGTCAGTGTTCGTAGACACCGAGTTTCTCGATATTTTCAATTTACTTTTTTTTAACAAACTGAGATTTTAGAATCTCAGAATATAATATTTATTCCTTAAAGAAAGATCAGATAATCAAAAAAAGACATTATTGTTTTCTTAGATATACCCATTAAATGCAATAGTTCAATTAGACCAATCTAAAGATATCCCTGTAATTATCGATTTGAAAAAAGGTTGTTTACTTCATATTCTTTCATGTAAATTCAGTTGCAATAAAATTTCTTATCTGAAATTTATTGCTTGTTTATTTGTAAGTTACAATTTTAGGTATGAAATCACAAAGTGCAAGAAATGCACTTTACAGAAATAGCTAATAAAAAACAAACCTTCACAAAACACGGTGCTTGAGGACCAGGATCCGTCAGTACATGTTATTATGACGTCATGTGAGCTTTGAGCGTAACCAGGCATGCACGAGTACATCGCAGTACTTCCATTGCTTACTCCATTGTAGACTTTATAAGCATTGGCTAAATCGGGCGGATCAGGGCAATCTTTGGAGAAAAATTATTTTATTTATTTGCAAATATTCAAATAACAACTGAAGATAATTAATTGGATTTCTTAGCATCTATTAGGGAAAAAAAATGAGTATATTATATATTCTTTTATATCCATATCTGTCCCTACAGATATATACAACTAATGTCTTAAAGTTCAATATCTCGACGACTATCATGAAAGCAAATATTTGAACGCATTCTAAGGATCTATTTTTTTTTATTTTAATTTGCGAATAGTCTGTGGAGTTACTCATACGGCCAATGATAAATAATTTGTTTATTTGAAATTATCTAATGCTCATTTTATATAAATATTTGAACACTAATTTTCTTTTTAAAAAGAGATCAATAGAATACCAGTAGGAGTACAGATAGTTTTCAGAGTCGTCCAGTCCGCTGAGCATTCATTAGTTCCAGTGCACGGAGATCCTTTAAAGAAAATCTATACAGGTTTTAAGAAATAGGTCGTTGAACTTCCAGTAGTAAAAAAATTGTAAGAACGAAAACCGTATATTGTTCTCGTCAAATGGTTCTTTCTTATTATTCTCACGACATGCCATAAAGGACAAATGCTTTTTTTCAAAAAAATACGGAAAAAATTATTGATAATAATTTTTGTCTTTTAAAATAAATATCTAAAGAGCTTCGGTTGTTAAAAAACTACACCTGTTAATTCGATAACTTTAACAGTCACTTCAACACTGGTATCTTGCTGATTATTATTTCCCGCTCCCCATTGCCCACCGACATAAACCAGGTAACCGTGAGTAGTGGCAATATCCGGTCTCCATAGCAACACTTCCGTTTCAGTGTATCCATATATAATGGCGCCGAATGGATCAGTAGACGTATCAATCATAGCGCTGCCCCCAGCATAAAACACGTATCCGGCATTGTTTGACGTAAAAACCTTCATCTGAATAGAATTCATTGATAATGTATGTTTTTTTATCATTTTAATCACAATTGTGAGTGATAAAAGAACAAGGTTGGAAATGGGCATTAAACTGTTCAAAAACAAAACAAATGCGAATGTTTTGTGCACAGATATTCTCAGAAAAAAACAACTTTTCTCTCTAGACAAGTAAAATAAAAAAAAGCTGTATATACTATGGTACATGTATGTGCCCTGTTTAAAAAAGAATCATTCATTCATGTAAAAAAAAGATTCCAAAAACTTTGCTTTGATTCCTTGATTTTTACATTGATAAAAGATGATATCTTTGAAATTTACTATCACTTGATTAAGCATTATCCATAAATCTTACGGAGAACTAGTGCAATAATTGGTATTTTTGACATGGATTTCCTTCTTTTCTGATTACTCAATATCTATGAAATAGTTCATTTTAATGCACTTAATTGAAATTTTGAAGAAATTCAGTATTATGGCTTTAGTTTCATGGTAAATTCTTTTTTTTCAAAAAGTAAAATCATAAAGAGTACTTTTGTAACCATGGTACTCTAAAAAACAAATGTTAGAATGTAAAGACTTTAATATAATACATGCAGTACACCAAAGATAACTCTTTAAACCGTATATAGTATAAATAGTATGAGGATTTTAAAGGATGTTCTTATCTTTAAGATGTAATCCCATTTAAAGAATTTATAAAAATTTCATTTAGAAATGTTCTTGACTTGTATTTTGACTATGCATTAAAGAAAAAAAGTTGAAGTAGTGAAAATTCTTGTTTTTTTTTTCATCCATCCCAATGAAAGTGTTTCATTTTCCAACAGACCTAAAAGTCATTGCACAACTCTAAGCGTTATAGTGTTGAAAATCAACTTGACAAATAATGACGTCATCAACTGACCTGAACAGATACTAATGTTGTGTTAAGGCTATAACTAGAACCCAGTGTCACGCGGTCCACTGTTGGTGACGTAGGATCTGCATTGTTTTTATCCAGTTGGAAGGAGGAAGAAAAATGTTTATTACAGGAATCTAGTATCCAGACTTGTATGAAAAGGTCAGCGGACGAACTTTGTAATTCTTCTGATCCCCATCCATCTCGTGCACAGGCAACATAGTTTCCTTAAAATAAACACTCTTATTTTATGCAATTCACTGGAATATTTGCTAAAAAATGGATGTTTTTGATTTAAAAATTATGTTGGACAAACGTACTGAATGCAGATAATTTAATAGATAGGACCACTTTAGCTTCAATGGCTCACCTGAGCGCTTTGGCATTTGTCAGGGAAAAGAAAATATAAAATTAATATTAACGATGTGTTTGATAAAACTGATGCCCCAATATAGCAGATAATGAAAAGGTTGAAAATTTCTCAAATGAAAATCAGAGTATAAAGTTCAAAATTGATGATATCCAAAGAAAGCTCTTATCACAAGGGATACATTGGTGAAACATGAAAGCTCTAGAGCCTTCCGCTGAAATAATTATGCCAAACGTGCATCAAACTTTTTGGTTAAGTTTGAAAGGTCAAAATTGTTGCCATTTGATCAAAAAAGGGCTTTGTCATCAGGTATACCTTGGAATACCGTATAAACAGTTTTTGTAGCGAGGATTCAATTTTGGCATTATCTGTGACGGTACTCATATCGCTAATTTTCAATAGTTGTTTAGTTGTAATAGCCTTTCAGTGAGCACTTCAAACTTGATAAAATTACTCCTTGCTAAACATGAAATGGGTCAAACACCAAGTCGTAGCTAAGAGGGCAAATGTTATGTTAAGGTTTTGTCACAATTAAAACAGTTCTGAAACATAGTTCCAGGCACCTGAATCTTTAAGGAAATCTTTTTTTGCGGACAAAAAAAGGAGAAAAAACAGACATAAATAAAATCGGCTAGGCAGACGGACGGACAAGAACTATATAGTGCCTACTGTTCGATGTCGGTAAAGGCTAAAATAAAAAGTAAATTATACAATTTAAGTATATAAATGGTCGGAAATTACTCATCTGCTAAATTTGAGAACATTTTAAAAGAATCTTTCGATATTCCTATGTACATGTTTTTGAACCATCGAATCCATTCCAGTCATTAAATCTTAACAAGCCTAAATGTATGACGTACATTATTTACAAATTTTTTACTCATTAAGTGATTCCTGAGAAGAAAACATTGAAAATTACCATAATATTTATACCAATTCTTCACCGAATCCCGACGAGAGCCTAGGCCTTTCATATTATCAAATTTACATCATTTTTTAAAAGGCGCTTCATTGCAAATTGCAAATTGAAATTGTTCAAGTTGTCGGAAAGAATGCTGCTTTTTACAAAGAACTTACAGCAAATGAGACAGAGAATCCAGGAGCTTCTTGATTCAAAATATGTTCATTTATATAATTAAAATATTCGTCTTAGGCGAGACGTTGTTTCTTTTTTTTTTTAAATCTTGATTTTAAATGGTTAATTACTGTTATCATTAGTGTCCTGTCTTGATAGTTGTTTTTGTTTTATTGAATATTTCCTTCAGATGATCTTTTATACATTGGACATCAAGGTTTGTGAAACGTCATAAAGAAACTATTCTTACTTTGAAGAAAAATTGGTGTTATATTGTAAAAAAAAAAAATATGACGTCATAATAGGGCTTTACTTATATGAATATGAGAGGTGATGTAACATTAATATTGGAAATGGAGAAAATGTTGTCATTTTTATACAACAGTCAGCATAGTAATAACAATAGTGGTGTATTTTTGCCTTCGGCTCATGCGTCAAACCCTGACTACTATTTAGACATAGTGCACGCAAAACAAAACACTATTATATAAGTAGTTTTCTGTAAAAAAAAAATCTTATTATAACATGTGACTAGATGTAAATAAATTTTGTTTTCCCTACATTCTTTTAGGGTTTTATTAACAAAAAACTGTTATCTATTACTCTTTTGCCACAACTCTGTTCAGTGGTTTGAAACTTACAGCATCTTTGAAGATCATACACCTATTATCTTTATATAAAAAATGTCTTTGAAACAAACATTTCAGTATTTAATATTATGTATTTGTTTTGATATTTTGCAATTCTAGTTAAAGGGAAAAATGAATAATTAAGGTATAAGATTTTTTTTTGTGACGCACTAAGCATACTAAGGAGCAGTTCTTGGGGTAAAATAAATACAGGACAACCGCGTATCAGAGTATAATTTTTGAAGAACTGGGCTAAATAATGTCTCAGCTATATCAATTATTATTTTCAATAAGGTCAATTAACTAACCTTTTCATGGGCTATTTATCATTGAATAGGAACATTTAAAGATTCAAAAGTATTGGTTTTGTATTGCGTCATTAACACAAAATCTTGAGACTACTTAAGTATTTTTCAATACTGTTGTTTTTAAAATAAGAATTAAAATTCAAACAGAATTTTTTTTTTCAAACGCCATGATATATGTACCTAGATACATGTAACTTCTTGTTTTATTTAACCCAGGAGATAAATTGATCTTTTGCACATGACATATATGTAAGCAGTGACAGCTGTAGACATGTACCGGTATGCTGTCTTATTCTGTATAATACGAGTCTGAATACTGTTCGTTATCTCCATATCCTTCCATTTATAAATTTAAATCAAATATTAAAACATTTTAAACATTTAAACGTAAACAAGATACATTGATAATTTACTATCATAGGAGAGATAGTAAAGCCATTGTAATATATATAAAGTACAAAATATAAATTTCATTAATCCAATAAAAAATAACTTATTAGAAAAATCCATTGTAAGTTACATATATGTAAGTATATAGATTTAAAATAAAATAGATTGCATCAAACCTGATCCAGTTATCGACCAGAGACGAATGTTTTGGTCGTTGAATGCGAATACTGTTCCACAAATGGACTGATAAGATTCGGAAACCGAATTGAATGTCACACCTGAAGAGTGAAAAATAATATTACTGTGCATAATATATATTATATAAAGGGTGTCATTGTCAAGCATTGTAAAACTCAGCCTGATTTCTAGTAGTATATGATTTTTATCCAACGGGTTGTGTAATTGTTTATCCCCGAGTCTACTACAACTCATTACAATTCTTTTAATCTATTTTTTTTTATTAATGTCTTCACAAACGATCTTTTACACGTTTTGCATGAACATGGAGACCTCCACTTTATTTTACTTCCTCAGGCTTTCACAAAAACCATTGTGACATCATAACTGCACTTAACTGTTAGATACAAAAACGACATCACGGTACATTGACTATATCGACGGGATAAAGGGGTAAACCTGGGATAAAAGTCATCATTATATGTTTTCTGCAATATTCTCAGATATAAAAAAGTGGTTCAGTACTATTTTCTATTAATTAACATTTATATATTAAAAGTGATAAGCACCAAAATACATATATTTAACCAAATATGTTCTTTGTTTTACGTTTTGTATCATATGAGAATGATTTTATTAAACTATTGTATTTTATATTTTTCGCAGTGTTCCTCTGTAAGTAGCTTACAGTAAAATAAAATTTGATTTTCAGAACTGCAAGATAACATATAAATTTATATATGATTATATTTGTCCAATCTAAATATTTAGTTTTTTAATGTCAGTGGAAGGCATGTTACCCATTAAATGTTTTCCTTATCATTCTTTTTTGTGTATTTTGTATCTGTTTTAAAATTGAGTATGTCATATGTATAAAAATTGACTTATACGTGTGATTATGGAAATATACTCTGTTGTGTTTTCGACAAATCTTTATTCCTGCTACATCATTATTGGAACAGCAACATGTGTAACAAAACATTGATCAAAGGAATTCTTACTCGTAGTAAGTGTGCCCCTAGCCATCAGCCTATTTAAGATTCGTATTAATATGAAAGCAAATAATGCAAAGAATTCTTTTTATGCACCCGGATCGATAGATCTAAGGCATTTGTTGTTTTTGTCCTGTCTGTTTGTCTGTTTATCTGTTTGTCTGCTTGTCTGTCAACTTTAACCTTCAGCATAACTTTTGAGCCATGAGAGATAGAGACTTCATATTTGGTATGGACACCAAGGTTAATGACATTTTTACCTGGACTGTAACCTATATGCTAAAAATAGTTTTTTTGAACTTTCACCATAACTTTTGAACCATGAAAGATGGAGACGTCATATTTGGTATGGTATGTAGACTCCACAAATTAAGTTCTTTCAAATGGCACCAAGGTCAGCGACCTTCTGACCATGACTGTGACCTATCTGCTTAAAATAGCTTTTTCGAACTTTGTTGCCGCCGGGCGCATAGTGTTCCACAAACACATCTTGTTTAAAATGGACTTAGTCGCATGCTAATTATTTTTGTTTAGAATGAAATCAATATATTTTAATCGATGAACAATCATTATTTTCAATATAATGTTTTTCTGACGTATAACATTGAACTTGAAAAAAGACACTCGTTTGACACATATTTGTGATATTTAAGGTAAGATTCTCATCTGGTTTCTAACTGTTAGAAACATGCAAAGTATATTTGCTTTCATGTCTTTTATATTAGGATTTAAAAGACCGTATTTTCATTCATTAAAACACAGTTGTACAGCTTTGAATAGATATCGTAAACTGGTATTGAAAACTAGCAGGGACTACACACTTTTTGGGGAATGGTGGTGTATGAAAAAAAAAAATTCTTTTCTGCCTCTCAAAACTATTATAAAACAATGAATTTAGTTAAAATTTTTACAAAATCAAAGACTTGATGAAATTTTTGAATGAAATTGATATTAGTTATAATAGACTAAAGCTTCAAAATATATCAAATAAATATGATTTTTCAAACAAACTAGAACACTATTAGCATTTAAAAGCTTCTAACTTAAATACAGATTGGAGCTAATAATCCGTAAACAAGTATTTTTACCTCTCATCAAATGATCAAAACATTTTGTTCTTGGATCATTTTGTATCTTAATGTAACAACTTAACTATTATGTGAGATAAGAGGAATTCAAATATAGGAAGCATAAAAAGAAACAATTATTATGTCCTAAAACTTTACAAAAAGCAAAGATAATTCGAATCTGCCAATTTTTTTTTTTTACATGTACTACCAGAGAATTTCTTCAAAAAGATTTAAATATTCACCTCCTGCCTCCGAGATGTAGCCGTTGGTCATTTTCAACTGGACAATAACTAGGTCAGGATATTTACCAAGGCCGTGTGTGATGGTTTTATGGTTATCCGCTAAATAAGAGAAATAAAATATTTGAAACATTAG